TTAAAAAACAAGGCATCGATTCAACTCCTGATGACAAGCCACCATCCAGCGAGGAAGCAATGCAAATAGCAACAAATCCTTCAGTATGCACAAGAATTACCAGACATCGGTGATCAACGGGACAGTTACTTGCAACTAGCAACAAAACTGTATGACACGCAGGCAAACATTGTCATAAACCAAAGAATGCATCCAACCAAACAATCCAAAATAGACACACTTTTTTTCCCAAGACAGAAAAAAAATAAACATGAAAATACTGTACGTATTTTACTGTTGTGATTTTTTTTTTGGATACACCTGTATTGCAGTTTTTGTTATATAAAGTTTTTTCACAGTATATTTTTGTATTTTATTGATTGTGTTGTTACACATGTATTTTTGTCAACATACTTGCTTGCAGGTTGGTAAAGGACATGTACCATGCTCATTTCCCAAATGAGGAATTTCTGTTAGCAGGACAAATTGGACAGCGCAAACACGAGTCCGCACTAGAGAATATTTACTGTATTTGTTTTTTGGGGGGAAAACCCCATTATGTTGCATCATATTTGACCGAAAAGCCCTGCCATTCACAGTCACTGGTAGTGTAGTGGTAAACTCGCAAGTTTTTGGTGCAGGTGGCATGGGTTCAGAACCTGCTCAATGACCTCTGAAATAAAATTTTAAACACTTACTTTTTCTTTGGGAAACCCCCGATAAGTTGCATCATGTATGACCAAAGTGCACTGCCATTCAGTCACTGGTGTTGTAATGGTAAACTCGCCGCCTGTCCTTTGCAGGCAGTGGGGGTTCAAAACCTGCTCAGTATTATGGCAAAATAAAATTTCAAACACTTAATTTTTTTTGGGGAAACCCCATTACGTTGTGTCATATATGACTGAAAAGCCCTGCCATTCACAGTCACTGGTCGTCTCGTGGTAAACTCGCCTGCTTTGGGGGCAGTCAGAGTTGGCTCAACTCCCAGTCAGTGATGTGCAAATACAGCACCAAACACTTGGTTCCTGTTTTCCATGGGAAAACCCCAATATGTACCGTCATATATGACCAAAGTGCCCTGCCATTCACAGTCACTGGTAGTGTAGTGGTAAAACCGCAGGCTTTCAGTGGAGTCAGCGCAGGTTCAAAACATGCTCAGTACTGTATCGTGTGAAAATCTAATTTCAAACAGTTAGTCAATTTTTTCTTTGCGAAAACCCCATTATGTTGTGTCATATATGACGGAAATGCTCTTCCCTTCACCGTCACTGGTAGTCTAGTGGTAAACTTGCTGGTTTTCGGAACAGGCAGCGCCGGTTGACAACCCCCTCAATGACGGGTGAAAATACTGCAACAAACACTTGGTCACTTTTTTCCAGGGGAAAACCCCAATATGTAGCGTTTTATATGAATAAAGTGCCTTGCCAGTAACAGTCACTGGTAGTGGAGTGATAAACTGCCTGGCTTTCGGTACAGGCAGTGCCGATTGACAACCCCCTCAGTGACGTGTGAAAATAAAATTTCAAACACTAAATTACCTTTCTCTTTGGAAACTCCCGATAGGTTGCATCGTGTATGACCAAAGTGCATTGCTATTCACAGTCACTGACAGTGGAGTCATAAACTTGCTGGCTTTCAGTGCAGGTAGTGCGGGATCAAACCTTGCTCAGTGACGTGTGAAAATATAATTTCAAACACTTAGTTAATTTTTTTTATTTTATTTTTTTATTTATTTATTTATTTTTTATGAAAACCCCATTACGTTGTGACATATATGACGGAAATGCCCTTCCATTCACAGTCACTGGTAGTCTTGTGGTAAACTTGCAGGCTTTGGGAGTAGTCAGAGTTGGATCAATTCTCGGTCGTTGACATGTGCAAATCCAGCACTGAACACTTGGTTACGTTTTTCCATGGGAAAACCCCAATATGTGGCATCATATATGACTAAAGTGGCCTGCCATTTGCACTCACTGGTAGTGTAGTGGTAAACTCACTGGCTTTCGGTACAGGCAGCACTGTTTGACAACCCCCTCAGTGACATGTGGAAATACAGCACCAGACACTTGGTTACTTTTTTTTCCATGGGAAAACCGCAATATGTCGCATGATATATGACTAAAGTGCCTTGCCAGTCACAGTCACTGGTAGTGTAGTAGTAAACTACCTGGCTTTCGATGCGGGGAGTTATGGTTCAAAACCTGCTCAGTGATGTGTGAAAATACAGCACCAAACACTTGGGTAATTTTTTCCATTGGAAAACCCAATATGTAGCGTCATATATGACATAAGTGCCTTGCCCGTCACAGTCACTAGTAGTGTAGTGGTAAACTCGCTGGCTTTCGGGGAAGGCAGCGCCGGTTCAAAACCCCTTGAGTGATGTGTGAAGATACAGCACCAAACACTTGGTTATTTTTTTCCATGGGAAACCCCCAATATGTCGCGTCTTACATGACCAAAGTGCCCTGCCACTCACAGTCACTGGTCATGACATAAAACACAAGGAGGAGACAGGATACTGAATTCTGGTACCAGGGGGGAACGAGGAGAAGCATCGGTTTCAGTTCTCTGCACGTCACCCAAGGATCTCGCCACTCGCCCTCTCATTTATTGGGAATCTAATACATAAGTATGTCCAACCTAAAGGATGAGGGCTGTTGAAGACACCCTGAACGTGTTTGAATATGTGTGTGTGTGTGAGTGAAAATTACGTACATGTGTGCATGAGAACGTAATCAATTTATCATTAACCTCCTGGGACCTGGCGTCCACATGTGTGGACATGACGTTTTGGGTTGTCAAGACTACAATGTTAAATTTTGGACTACAAGGGCCTGGCGTCCACTTACGAGGATGTTACATCATGTAAAAATATAATTCTTTGTTTTTACACTCATCAGGTCCCAATTAGCCTAAATATCAAAGAGAAAATAAAAATAAAATAAAAATGCATGCCTTGCAAGACTCCAGGTCTTAGGAGGTTAAAAATATGCAAATGTGTGATAACTAAAAAGAATCAACCTAACACATGTACTGGCCCACCAAGGGAAGAGGTAACCCCAAAACGGCCCACCGCAAAAATGAGTTGACACCCCTGGTCCAGATCAGTGAGCAAAGTGTAGACTGTCCTTCAAAAATACATCCCCTCTCTCATGTGCTGAAGGAGAACACATGTACCAGAAAAAGAAGATCAGTGCAGTTGTCCATATGTTAGTGTGATCATACATTATAACAGGAAATGGGGACACGCAACCATTGATATTCTAGCATGTCGACAGAAACACAGATGACCTTTTTACAATGTACAGCAATTAGTGTGGTCAGCAACACTTCAGAGAGTTACAATGTTTCCTTTTCATGCTCTCTGGCAATCTCATTTTTTTTCAAGATTTTCTTGCTTGTAATCAGCCAAATTAGTTAATAATAATATGATTACATACAGATATCTTTTTTACAAATCATAGACATGTAATTTCATAAATTATGTAACCAATTTAACTAAATCCATCCATAGTTTCGATGGCCTGCGTGTTTCATCCATGTATTTCTTCAATGGAATTTTAACCGTAGAACTGTAGCGAAGCCACTCGAGTGAGGCACGAGTCAGCAGTCGATAGTCTGCTGCTCTCTGCTGTGCGTGCTTTCAGCGTGAACATGGACGCACGCGCGCGTCTTTTGGCTTCAACCAATCAGCGCTGATGCAACGGACATTACACATCAAAGAGCTTTGATCTGGGACACCAGCTAAGCTTGCCTAGCCGACTATTTAGTGTTCCATTAACCTGCCATGCACGTTTTGGGAATGTGGGAGGAAACCAATGCAGGCACGGGGAGAGCATGCAAACTTTACACAGGAAGGACGGGGCCGTAATCGAACCTTTCACATCTGCACTGTGAGGGCGACACGCCCCACCAGTTGCCCACCGCGCTGCCGCAAAGCATAATACACAAAATCATTAATGAAGATTTATAGTCTTTTAATTCTCATGACATTCATTTATTTAACATAACGTAGCACGTGATATGCACTTATTACCATTCTCTCCATGCAATAATTTATTTGGTCAAATGAATTTTGAAGATACAATATTCCATTTTTTATAGGTACCATTGAAACGCAAAAAAAAAATGAGGGATTACTGTATTTATCTATTTCATATTTATTCCTTGACTCTGGAATTTATTTCAGTTGTTCGCAACCACCGTGGATAAAATCTTAATTATATTCATTTATGATATGGGGTATTTTATCAGTCACACTATTTTTAACCTCTCTAAAACATTCTGCATAGTTCATTTTTCTTCAAGCCATCATTTATCGTACAATTTCATATTTCTTGTGTGTTGTAACTCCTGTTGTGTTCTAATAGTGTATGCTAATGTTGTCTTTTGCTTATTCCTATAGACCAGTTTCATGTGACTTATGCATACATTGAATATGGCTGCGCGCGGAACGCGGAGGCAGAAAACACGTTTTACAGAACAAAATCATGCCGTCCTCATGCTGTTCTGTGGGTTGTCACAATAGAAAGAGCACACACAGAGAGCTCGTCTTTTATAGAATTGCTCTGGTCAACACCCCTTCAAGAAAAAAACGGCGAAAGGTGTGGCTACAAGCTTTACTACGTGAGAATTGGACTGACGGGGCAATTAAGAATGCTCACTTCGTCTCTGGTAAGTACTTGGGAATTAGATATAGCATGTCAAATTATATTCTATTTTGTGAAAGCCCAGAATAATGTTCAATTTGTGAAAGTAACAAATGAGTGAAGCTGTTGATATGTAGTCTTGACAGTCAAACGTGTTTACAAGTTGTGTGTGAAGTAACTCTTCAATGCTTCATGCACATTTTAAAAACAAACATATCCAGTCATACTAATGCCAAATGATAAAAACATGCTTCACCACACACACTCTCTCTCTCTCTCTCTCCCTCTCTC